TCAAATTAGTTTAAAAAAATTCAGAGCAAATAAGTTGCATCTACAGCAACAGGTCTCTTACGAACCTTTGCACTGCTAGTGTAGAGTTCCTTCATTTCTTCTCAACAATTTTATCAAAATTTAAAGAACTTCCAGGCACAGACAAGTCTTTTTACACCTGTGAAGAGCATTCACACCTTCTGCACTGCTTGAACTGCTGCTCATGCGGCAATAAACTGGGTGTGAAACCTGCAGGGGTTTAAACTGAGAAACATACACAAACAGACAGCATCAAAATCAGTTCTTACACCACCTGCACTTCTGCTGTGAACCAACAGACACACACAAAGCAGAGTAGCCGTCAGTGACATAACCCTGTGCTTAGATGAGAATTACAGACCTGTATTGCAACCACACTGCTGATCAAAGCAACCACGTTCTACCATTCCACCATAGGAGAAAGAAAACCCAGAGAGTTTACCAAGGGTCTGTGGTTCCCTTATGTCCTGCCTGGATGTAGCACTGAGTGCAGTATCTCACCTTTTGATCAGAGGTATTTCACAGGCGTTAACTATAATACTATGTGCTTTATGCACTAGATATGGACAAGAAAAGCATAAGGAGCAAAAGATGGCTTTTGATATATTTAAGGGTGAAAAGATCACACTTCTCCATGCTAGAAGGCATGTCAGCAAGATGCCAAAGACAACACCCACATTTCTTGTCATGTATGCACATTCCCATTCCTAGTTCACCATTAGTGAAGTCTGCCCATCTACACAAGTCAGTCACTGATTTTTTGTACTCCCTAAAAAACCTGCTACTTAGCATACTCAGAAGACAAGACTTGGATAACAGCTTAAGTGCACATCTGCACTAAAAAAACCTCTTCAGTACATATCTGCATTTAAAAACCTCAAAGTAAACCAAATCTAGCCACACAAGATCTGCAGTTTTCCCTACGTGAGATGAAGACACTAATATGAATGTACATGACAGTCTGGGCTCACTGTTTATACATGATCCATATAAAGAAGCTGAAATATCTTAGTTCAAAAGGAACTTAAGATGATACAAGGTAGTGGAGAAGACAAAAGTCTCTGTTCTTTTAATTTAAAAAATAAAAATTCCTATGGCATAAATACTTTTTTCATAGGTTTTGTCACCATGTAGGAGACTAGAATGCCTGTTTCTTAAAAATAAAGGATTTGGGCAATTTTCAGTTGTCTATGAAAGCTTTTAAGTTCCCATAAATACAACACCTACACTTCCAAGCATGGAAGTGAGCACAGAACTCCCACCCAAAAGAGGGCAGAGACCAGAGTTCATAATTATCAGGAAAGTTGCCTACACCAGCACATATCTAAGATTTGCTCACCTCCAATATAGCTAGTGGCACAAAAAAGATAGCTAGTGGTAAAGTGCAGGTTTACCACGATGACACCTAGCCCCCTCCTGCCAGTCTTGCATGGTGACACAGGATCAGCACATCGGACACCCAGATGAACTAACACTCAGTCCTATAGCAGGCTCTTAATAAACACAGGAGTGTGCCAACACCAAGCAGAACTGCTTGCACTGAAAGCTGGGTGAGTCAGTGCACTTCTCCCACCATATCCATGCTCAGGTAAGATTAATGACACTAAATCTTCTCTGGAGTGCAGTTAGATATGTCTGAACTTGACATGCCAGTGACCTACTTTTCAGACATGCCCAACACCCACATCTCCCTCTGAAGGCAAAAAAAGACAAGGATGCTCAGCAGTTTTGAAAAGGTAGTACATGCTTTTAACACACAGAAAGCTGATGACAGCTAAAGGCCAGCTGTGCACATTAGAAAAATCCCACTTTAGCTCCACGTGTAGCACCTAGGGCATTCAATGCTATGGATCACTCAAGACTCTACATGTTTGGATATATGTGTCTGTTAATTCCAGCCATTTGCTAGCAGGTGAAAGAGCACGGATGAAAGCTAATAATTTCTTTCTTGTAGCCCTCCTGCATCAGTTATACATTCTTGGATAACAAATGCTGCCTCAACTTTAACTCTCACCTGCCTAGGTGCATCCCTTTTCCTTAGAAGAAAAATAAAATTGTATCCTATCGCTCCTAGTGCACAACAACTGTACTGTAAAGAGATACAGGGTCAGTCTATTTTGGCCTAGTAAGGAATCAGGCAAAACAACTAAGATTAGGACACAATGCATGTTGTTCAACTAACGTGACTGAGTAGGATTCAGAAGAGAAAATATGTAGGGCATACAGGTGATGCACACTGAAAAGAAACTCCAACCTTGCAGATTATGTGAAGTTTAGATAAACTAGTTAAATATGTAAAACCCATCCCCAATTCATTCTTTCCCCCTCTGTGACACTCTTTATGATAAATAACCACACTCTTTATTATTGTTATTTTATTTCTTAAAATATGTGCATGGATGTGCTACAAAGACGATTCAGAGCTATATAATGCATAACTATGTCTGCAAGCTATAGCTAAAACCACTTCCGTGTCTTTTAAAACCAGATAAAACCACTGGTGCCATAAAAAATAGAGACTAGAGACTGAGCTCCTGCTTTGAACGGTTTATGGTTATGGAACCACATCATGCCCTAAAGAAAACCTCTAAAGTGGTGCCTAGCTGTTGTGTATGTTAAGACTACTAGCAACTTCAACAATGATACATTCAGCCCCAGTGGACTGATGGAAAACTCCCTCCGCTTCATCTCCAGAAGACGTCCTACCCCAGCCTGAAGCAAGTGCTGGAGATGGTAAGTCGTTTCAGCTGAAGTTATCTGCAAAAGTTTCAGAACATTTCTCTCATACAAGCAGTACATATCACAGGCTGGTAAACGTGGCCAGAACTCACTTATTTGACTAACAAGAGACAAATAACATCTCCATAACCATCCTTTACAGTTTCCAGGGATCTCTAAACGCCCTCCGCATTTCAAGGCCATTAAACAACCATTAAGTCAACACTAGCACTAGAAGCCAGGTCCAAACAAAGATCTGCACAAGCCTAAGCAACAGGTATTGAGAGTCTGATAAACTATGCTTCCACCCCAAGTATCCTGAGACCTCCAAGTTTGACTCCTAACCTGCTATTCCTTCCAAGTAAGTTTAGACTCTGAAACTTTTAATTACAATAAAAATGTTAATGCAGATGGAAAATGAAGGAAAAAGCCATCAATCAGCATCTTCATGCCTAAAGAAATAAAAGGCACGATCATAGCTTACAGCATCTCCAAGACACCACAAACCAGCCCCACAAGCAGGCAAATTACTTGGTTAGCACCTTTAAACAGAAAATAACCTGGGAACCTCCAGACTTACTACAGTATTTTAACGTCCATATAGCTATCCTGTATCACCAGCAAAGCTTTAGACATCTATCAGCACATCTAAAAGCAGATTTCTTTACTGGTTTCATCGGTAAGTAGGACGTAACTGAGCTACCCCAAGGGGTTGCTCTGGGATGGGAAGGGCAAGAGTGGTGCTCATGAACTAGCAGTTTCTTAGTGGGAAACCCCAAGTTTCTGCTTCACCACTTGTTTCTTGAACCTGACATCTCGATTATTAGTGAAACAAAGATCTCTCACCAATGCTTTTCTCTACAGAGAAATGACAACTTGGAGCATCAACCTATTCTCAACAATACATACCTGCTAAAAGAGCAGAAGCGACTTATTTTTTCTAAGGTGGGGGGAGAGGCAGAGATTGTGATACAGACATACACAAGAGCAAATGAATTTCTTTCTCAAAGATAAAAAGAATTAGTTGAGTAAACCTAACAAGCTACAGTGAGCCGACACATACTCAAGCTTTATTCAGTTTCACAACAAATAAGTAAAAAATTTAAAGAAAATGAAATCGTGGCAATGTAGCAATGTAAACCTGCTTAAAGTCCCTTTTACAGTGTACTTGCTTTAAGTCGCTCAGCCGAATTTACATGATCTTAAATTTGCACGTATTTGACATCTAGCTGAAAACTAACGCATAATGAGGACAAAGAAAAGATGAAAGACATACTGACAGTTTTCCAGAAAGCTAGCAGAGACATAAAAGCAGACACTCAACAGGATAACAGGCATCCAAGAGAAAAAGTCCACCAGAAAAAAACCTTGAAAATCAAAACATATTCTTACATTGGTCAACATTTTGTCTTTAAAGCTAGGGACACAGGTTACACACCATGCACCCGAGTTGCAAAGAAACTCTGCTTAAAATAATTATTTATAGAGTCCGCAAGAAAGATGAGCTCTTACTTTAAAGGCAGACACCTTCAGGATGGAGTTTTGAAGCTCCAGCTGCAGGGCTGAATTAAGTTTGAGCTCTTTCAGAAGAGAAAAAGCTGCCTCTGGGCAGCCTCAGACCCTGCACAGCCCAGCTAAACGGCCTGAAAACATTTTCCTCTTTGGCAGCTTTACAACACGGGATTTAACTCCAAGATCTTATCGCTGATATGGTATTTTAAACAATTACCAAGAAACGTTTAGAGAGGAGAAACGGGAACCAAAACTTACGATTTAGCCAACGCCACCGCAATCTTTACGCAAGGTCAGAGATCCCCACAGCCTTCCCGGCAATTTTTGTGATGGAGGCGATCTCAGATCCCATTTTACCCACGTTAAGAAAAGTCACTCAAGTGTTGCAAGTTCCAGCAGCGCCCCAGCCTGCTCACCGCCCTGACCCACACGGTGGTGGAGGAGGAGATGGGCACCAAGCAGGAGACCCCTGCCCCAAGCTCGTTCCCCTCCAGGACCAGACGTGGCTGCCTAAAGCCATGTCCCCATGCTGGACCACCGCGACCCTGACGCTTGCCCAGACTCCGGTGGTGGAGTCTACAGTCACATCAGTGATGGTCGGTGGTCTGTCATCACCGGTCTGTCTGCCGGTGACGGTGGTGGGCCACCACGGCAGGACCTGTCACCTCCCACCATCACTCGTCGGTAGTGGTGGTTGGTGGCAGAGCACCGCCACGGCCCCGCGGGACCTGTGGCTGCCCGCTCCCCGGTACCTGTCCTCGGAGACGCTGATGACCCCGTCCTCCTTGGGCACTATCGCTGCCATGTTCACCACCTCCTGCGAGCCCTCCACTTTGTTGAGCAGGAGGGGCTTGCGAGTCAGCGCCCTGGGCTGAGGCTCCGCCGCCATGGGCGCCGCGGGGCCAGCGCTTCTGCCCATCAGCAGA